CCATAAATTGTTTATAATGACTAAAGTCTATTGTTAAAATTTAAAAATCAATATGTATCTAGCAAACACCTTTTTCATCTTTTTAGTCTATTTTTAAAAACGTGGTATATTAAAAATACATTTTATTTGATTTGTTATTAGCACATTGTTATGCATTCCTTGTAAGGCACATGCAAAATTACTAAATAAATGAATACAACTAATTTATGCTCATAAATTTAAAATTATAGGTAATAAAATATAATTGAATACTATTTTCAGACATTTTTTTTTTAAGTTAGTTTACAATGTATACATACATCATAGTACCTCATATATAAATACATACATATGTACACTTTTCCTTTTTATGTACTCGTACTTAGCCTGCCTCAGTATTAGTGAAAGCTAGAATTTTTGTATTATATTTTCAAGTAAAATGATTACCAAATAAAACATCCAAAACAAAAAAAAAATCCATTATACATACATATGTCATTATTTTGACAACAAACTATGACGTAAATTGCCAAGTATTAATCGTAGATAGTCAAAAAGAAATGAAATCTTCATTTCAATCAACAAAGAAGTGAGCGATAAGTTTTTAAAGAATAAAGGCGAAGCAAATTAACAGCAATTTTTTGAAGCTGATCTACAAAATTTGATATGTCACAAAAAAAGCTATGATAAAGCTAATAATAAATTATTGGCTTAGAAAAAAATTTATTTTGGTTACCCTATCTCAATGCTTCCATACTTCACAAATTTAATAGTAAATAATTATAGTAGAAGCTCATGTTTAGTAAGTCTAGTTAGCAAAACATTCAAACGTTTTGAAGAAAATAAGTTTCTTCGCTCTTTTGCGAAATTGTCGCACTATTTTACACGTTTTCTATTGCATTTGGCGTATACGAGGTATAAGCAACCTAAAAAATGTTTTTTTTTCTAATAAATAGAGGCAGGCAGTGGCAAACCTCCGAGTGTATTTCTTCTCCGAGTGTAAAGTTTCCATAGAAACCATTTGCCGTTAGGAGGAGGCGTAAAACCGTAGCTCACACAGGAGGAAGCACGACCAAGCACTATCAGGTGTTTAAGCGCCAAATATTTATTCATTAGAAAGAACGAAAGGCTCCTCCATCGGCATAATTTTGACAGGTCTACTATCCCAAATATCCTGTACACAGGGTCGTTTCATCCCAGTCTACGTGTGGGTGGTTTGGGCTGTGCTCAGTAGTAAGCGACCAGGAAAATACACCTCGGCTTGCAAGCTAATAGGTATACCTGTTAATCTTTTGAACAGGAAACGCCCAAGTGCTTCCTAGAATTTCCCACTTCAAAATTTCCCCATTACAATTACTACTCTAGTTAAATTCCTCTCATCGTTTATTTACACCGTGCGACAGTAAATTTGACACACAAAAAAAATTAATATATTCGCGAAACTATCGGGAAATCATAGTAAAACTGCGTACTTAGTTTTTCTCTCTGACGTCAGGATTTTTTAAAAAGACTTTGAAATTAGAAAAAAAAATATGCTTATTTCAAAAAATCATCTAAAATATTCGATGCAATTTAGGATATCATATAAAAAAATCTGCAGAATTATAATAGAATACATTTTTTGGTGCATCGTGCGGATGGGCGGGAATGGAGGGTAAAAACCGTTGGGATTATTATTAAGGACGAATGGTTATGGAAAATCTCCTTTACAAATAGCCTTGAAAATTTGCAAAATTTTTTATTGAAAAAATGACTACCTCATCATCGAATTTCGTCCTGCAAACTTTATCAACTTTAAAAGATAAAATTTATTTATTCCTCCTTGTGAACCAAAAATTTTTATTGTTTTTTAATGCTACAGAATTTTCTCCCTCATTTGATACCCATTTTCTTATTCTACATTGCACTGATTTTTTAAAATAATTTTTTGATCTAAATATATCTTTAAAATTTTTTGTGTTTTGAAATTTTTTGTTTTTATCGCACGGTGTTATCAAAGAAGAAAAATCACTCAGTATACATAAGTGAGTCGATATCAAAAAATAGCATGACTGATTAAAAATATCAATGAGATTTGTTTACGATTGTTGTGGCATTATTTACCTCACCTGAGGCCCAAACGCGTTGTTATGACGCCATCTGTAGCACATGTACCATACGATTATTGTGTGTATATACTGCAATGTTATCTATAAGTGTTTATAGATTGTATTTTGTTTCAGTTCAAGTGGAGTATCAATGACATTAATCATATATCAGTACATTGTGTCGCGTATGCATTGGACATTCGAGGAATTATTAGGGGTCTGTACTTTTTAAATATTTAACACTCAGAAATTATACAAATTAAAATATCGCAAACCAAAATTTAGAGATCTACTCCGCAAACGAAAACCAAAAAGTAATAAACTTGGAGGCTTGAAGGACAATCCATTTTTGTTTTCTTATACTTTTTTTCGACTGCCTTTGCAACCTACGTATGCACTTATATATATACTTTAATTTAGCTGGTAATTTTTGATAAATTGACATTATGATTCATTGACCTGTTTTTATTGACCGGCAAAAATTTCTGTGTAGCCTTAACTGTTTTTATGGTAAAGCTTTTTATTAACCGATAACGAAGTGTCGGTTATCAAGGCTTCCAATTAAGTGGAAAATAAAAATTAAAGGCTCATATACTACATATGTACATACCTATACAATTGTTTATGTTTTGCTGAACAATTAAATTGCAAAAGAGGACTATAAACTCTATTTTATTTTAAATATTCCTATAGACTTATACGGGCAATTCCACGCAATGAAATATCAATGAGGAAACATTTTTTTTTTCTAAATCCTGCCTAACAAAGCAACTCCTCATCGCCCGGACATACATAAATGAGCGGTTGGTTGGATATAATTTCCCAATCTCTTCTCACTTCTGCGAAAAAGGGAATTGGCTTCTACCATCCATGTAGAAATATACAAGCCATCCTGCAGCCAATGCCGACGCGAGCGCTAATTAAGCGTAATTTAGCAATACAGCTCTCGTTTATAGAAAAATGTTCACCTACTACATACATTAGGGTGGGTCAAATTGTTTGGGAGACTATGCGTATTTAGCACAGAAGGATTTTAGAACTTCTAGGTCTGAAAACAATTTGAAGTTGGCTTAAATTCTTTATAAAAATATGCTATATGGGATATTTTGGTATGAGGAAGCAATTTATACGCTTGTGTTTTTCTTAAAACTTCCACCAGAGGGCGTAACAGTGAAGTTTTTCACATTTTCTTAGAAACCTATTGTCGCAATTTGGCAAAGTAAAAATTGACTTTAGACGCAAATTTGCTTAAAATTATGCGCGTATAGCTGAATAGTAAAAAAAAAAACATTGACTCGCCCCAACACAGGTACATATGTCTATGCATATCAGGGTGTTCTTAAAATATCAACATATAAATTTTATATGGAGCACCCCTTTATTTCGTTCTAGATATAAAATAAAGACATCTACGAAAATTTCAAAATGTTGAAACTATTTTTTGCTTCTCCTCAAAAAAAAAAAATCAAAATTTCACTATCGACGTCTATCTTGGTAGCTACTTCGAAAATGCTCTATCTCAGAAAACTTTTCAAGAGTGTCATATCTTATAATTTGATTGAAATTGCTCTATTTCAGAATTCGGTTCAAAAACGTTCTATCTCAGCTGCCGATCTCAACATATTTTCAATATATTTTTCAGTTGAGATAGAACGTTTTTGAATCAAATTCTGAGATAAGGCGTTCTTGAAAAGTTTTCTGAGTTAGGGCGTTTTCAAACTCGCTACCAAGATGAGTCGAATTTCCACTCAGCCGTCGATATACATATGTATGTATGCACATACGAGTATGTATGTAATTGCTTTTTTTTCAAAATAAAACGCATTTTTTTAATATAAATACCAAGTGTAATGGAATTGGACAGATTAGATTACATTTTCATAGGAAATATTGACTCACGGCATATAAAATAATTGTCGTAAACAACGAGACACTAAGACTGCGTATGCAATTATATTTCAGGTCGTGTATAGTCCATGTCCAGTTTTGTATTGGGTGGCAATCGAGAGACGCCCCAGCGTTCTTTATTTACGTGCACAAAGTTCTTTGAGACTTAGGTACATCCATATGTGCTATACATACTTGTACATACATATGTATGCGTAAATTTATAAATAAATATATGTGTTCCTGTTATCAAAAAATAATAAATACATATAGCGCTTTGTGGAATACACACATATGTATGTGTGTATGTACGATTATAGTACATATATGGATCATAAACTGTTGACTCTTAAGTTGTCCGTGTATGAGAGCCTGATTAAAAATTGATGTTGCAATATATATTACGGATTAAATGCAGCTGTACATGCATTCATACCTACATACATATGTACGCAGATACATAGGTATGTACATATGTACATATATACATGCACAACCATATATAGCAAAACTGCGTTTTTCGTTTTTTGACGTAGAATACGTCTTACCTTAAGGTATGGGGGCTATGTTCAAATGTTGTAGTTGTAATTTTTAGAGCTTCACAAAAACGCTTATTGCACGAGAACTAATAAAGCGATTTCAAAGAAAAGTGTGGCGTTTCAAAGATAAAATTCCAAACCTGTCGACAGATTCATTTTTCTAAATAACCAATTCGGTTTCTGTCGTAAAAACAACGGTAAACATTGCCTTATTTTGGGGTCAATTT